CCACGTGGTAGGAGGTGGATTCCTGAAAAGGAACGTTTGGCCATGACGAGGACGTGTTATTTGGTCCATTCTCGCGGGGCTTAGCTTGATCGTGGAGCACGGATCCTATATTTGCGAGCGTGCCGTTTGCCTTTGGCGCGGTCGCGTAATCTTTTCATTGCTATCAGCCTTGCATCATACAATCCAGGTCGTCCATTTATTCTCTTCCCCTCTGGTGACCTGGGCAATCTCCCTCGCCACGATTCTATTCGCCTGCTCACTCGGATGCAGCTCATCGTACCTACATCGACTGTCAAACCGAGAACACCACAAATGGAATACACCCACCACAGGAAACTGTCCTTATCCGTCCCCTGCGCCGTCGTGCAGACAGGAGTCCCACCTCCCTCTGGAAATACACACGACACCACCGCACCTGTCACATTCAGCGGCGCTGTCCCGTTCAAGTACGCTGCTGGGTTATCATGCATATCCTGGAACAGCCCGTGCGAGTCAAAGATCCCGATATGAGCACCCGGAACGTCGGGCACCAACGCCTGCAGCATCGCTCGCGACAATGTGTTCCCACTCAGCACCAGCTCGCGCATAAACACGCTCCACTCCGACGTGTTCCGCGCCCCGCTAAAGTACAAGTTTGGGTACGAGTCTGGCGCATACAGAATCACCTCGTTCAGCAGCACCATCTACGGCACAGTTAGCTGGGATCTATTTCATCATGGTGGCACCCACATTCTGGACTAAAAAGTTTCTTGCCCCGTCCTCGTACAGCACCTTCACCCAATTGACCATACACCCCGCTACATCCACGATCGGCGCGCCATTGCTCCCTGTCACCAATGAACCCACTCCCACGTCATTAGTCCCAATCCACAGTGTGTACAGTGTCTCCTCCGCGTTCACCTCGATCGAGCCATTGTGTTTTTCCGCGAAATACAATGGAAGTTGGCTTTCGAATATCGACGGAAACAGTCGGGGCGTCAAGTTGTTGGAGCACGTTGCTCCAGAGCGTGCAAACGGGTACAACGTGAGGTTGGCGTACCCCGCTGCATAGACTGGCCACGCTGCTCCCCTATCACGCACGGGGACAATGTCCGTGTAGCTGTCTCCAAAGGTGACCAGGTTTTTGACTTGAACTGCGAGGGACAGCAGAGGAAGAGAAAGAAGGAGTAGGAAAGTCATCGAGAGTCAATGGAAGGGGCGTTTATGAGGATGATGCCTTGATGAAGTTTCTCCGAGATGGTATCCATGACCATTCAGCGAACAACTCGTCTTTCGCCGCACTACATAGTACACACCTATCCACCTACCGATCATCCCCACTCCGCATCTTCGGTCGTACAGGTACAATATTATCCGAACAACCCCTTCATTCTACTCACTGCCTGTAACTGGGACCAGTGATTCTGGTAGGGGGACGATCCTTCACCGTCACCGTTTGCAGCCTTGTGCTTCCACCACGAGACCAAGTGCCACCTGGCCAGCAATGATCAAGTCCGAAAGCGAATCCGAGAGCGGTGAACAAGCCTGGAGCTGTCAATTCGGTGGCGAAAAAATCATTCCCCTATGGAGGACTGCCACCTAGCCGGGTGCGTGCAGTCGCATAAGCTCGTGTAATACTGTAACCGTCTTCTGTATATCAACACGTCTTTTGGGGGATTCACCTCTTACGACGTCCTCGGCGTGGTCGCACAATGCTCACAGACGAACAGGACACCGCTGAGGAGGTAGATGCGCCACAAAGTAGCGTATATGGGTGCGTCTTCTTCCCGGCACCGCTCCACTTTGATTCAAGCCGTGTTGCGTGTTACCTTCTTTTAGTCCTAGGTACATCGGTCTGAGGCTTTGAGGGTTTACTCTCAACGTTATTTTACTAAATTTCCTTCAGTACTACTACTTTTCGCCGCGCTTCAGGATTCATTGTCATTTAGACATCGTTTTGGCAAGGTCGAAGATACACTATTCAACATCACGTTGGGACGACATTCGAGCAACAGCAATTGAGCGAGCATCTTGGGGACAAGAGAATCGAACAACGTCAGTCACTGTTTATATAAGCCCTTCGCGTACATACGCAGGTAGTCATATGTCTGTGTTTTCTTGTTGTTTTCCTCGTGTGTAGATGAAGAACAGAGAAGCCTGTGATATAGACATCATTCATGAGAGAAATTCGTTAACAGAAACCTGGAAATTACACTGGAACCAATGCAGCACACTATCAGAAGGACTATGTCGTCTGACGCGTGCATCGCAGTAACTCTGTTGCCATTCGAGCTCACTAAAACCACCGTGAAGTCACCGTACAGTCAGATGATAGATAGATACAAAAAGATCGTCGTATTCTTTACGCGACTGTACGCGCTTTACCACGACTTAGTAATAATTCTCTATAGAAGAATGGTTGAAGGACTTCTTCGCCATAGAAATGACGGTGTGACAAAGAATAATGCGATGATAGGCTACGAAAGAGGTGGGTCGCCAAGTTCACTCAGATGATCAGCCTTTGCCCTTGTATTCATCGGACTCGGACTCGGATCCGGACCCGTTCCAGACTAGCCAGCATTGTTCTCGCCTAGAACACTCTTCATCAATCTTGCCCAACGTCCGATTCCCGCTTCACCAAAGTGGGATTTTATGCTGGACAAGCCGCAGATCGGATGAGATGGCATGAAAGTCTTTTCAACGTACTTCTAGAGTCAGCCATGAACGGATAGGGAAGTTTATCACTCCTTCGGACTGTGAGGAAGTTTAAAACCGAGTATGCGATGTAACAAAGAGTAGATTCCCTATCTGTTAAGTGCACGTTCTCCAAGGACATCTCCCTTCCGTCCACGCTACAACACGTCGTCGATAGCAAAGAAGAGAGATGGCGGCTTCCTTAGTTGTCAAACAGAGAGTCGACACTTCAGAAGGATGTTCGCATCTTTCATGAAAAGCGGGCGAAGCAATAAAGGAGAGCGCAATGGTTGGAACTGCTGATGGATGAAGCCTCAGTATATCACCGGAACCAGTCAGGACGCACATCAAAGATAAACCAGCCCCCTCACCAAAACACCCTATGAATGACAGTGCCAGCCACCGTCGCAATTCATCCCATTACACCTCTAATCTATACACATCCTGAAGTTACGTGAAACCTACACATACAAAGCCCAAACTTCCCCAATCCCCACCATACCTAGCAATCGGCCTCGCCTTATGCGGGTGCCGCCCCGTCTCTGTACATAGATTACGGGTAGCGGTTAAAAAATGCTGAGTTAAAAAAAAAAAATGGTTGGAACTGACATAGGACGACATGTGACCGTGTTGAGCTCGAGGTTAGGGTTCCAGATTTGCCCCTAAGTTCACCGTCCGGAATCCATATTCCTCCGTTTATGGACTGTATACCTCTCTATGGCGTCGTGCTCATTAGTTGAGTACCTCGCGTCCACTTCGAGAAGGTAGTAGGAGGTATTCCCGAAAAGGGATATTTGGCGACGACGCGTTGTTTGGCATGAATCAGGTTCTCTGTCTCCGCGTCTTACCGTCATGCTTGAATTTGTATCTCCCCTTCGTTGCCTTCTTCGCTCCGCTTTACCTTTATTAAAGCTTTGTATTAGCTATCTTTCACCCATTTAGTCCCAGAAATGTCGGTAGGAATCTTTAATGGTTTATTCTCCACGCATTTTGCTAAATCTCTCTTCTTTTTTTTCAGCATTCCTTGCGCGTATTTCACTTAGTTCAAACCCGATGTTCTCCAGATTGAAGTTCTGCAGTGAGGGCGTCTCTCTCATTGTGAAGGGCTCGTTAGACGGAGGATGGTCATCTTGCAATATGGTACGTGTCTGCATTATCACAGATGTTTTGAAGTTAATTTTTTTCTTCTAGATCACTGAATCCATCTATTTTTCTTCCAAGTCCCTTCCCTTTTTCTTCATATTCTCCCTCTTCCTTAATATCGATTCACCTCACTGTCTCCACCGACTATATTACCTCTATCTTTAGCGGAACTCGATTTTCAGAGTCTCTCTGCTCAGTCACCACAGTGAGGAGGTCTCGTTTTACGTCGCAACAGCGTATCGCCTTCCGGCGAGCGAACTGGGCGAGGAGTCTGAGGAAGATTGAGATAATACGCGTCAACGAGATGAGAGTGCGTCACATGAGGGGTTATCAACAGTGTTGTACGGTCACCCGACCTTGAGCCGAGGTCAAGGTCGCCGGTCACGGAACTTTGGGGCGACCGTCGCTGGTCACCCAACCGAGCTGTGAGGCCGCATATGACGTAGCCTTGGACTTATTTGTATGGACCTGCTTTGTCACCATGGCCTCGGCATTCCGGTCCCTGCGTAGGCGACGTCGCCGTGGCGTGGGGAAAGTCAAGGTCATTTAATGACCGTGACCGTCATGACCTCGGTGACGGTCGCGCCCGCACAACACTGGTTATCAAGGACCTATATGGTGGAATGGAGCTTAGCTTGGCTCACGCAGGTTCTTGCAGGCTATTGCCACGATAATTCGGGATGGCCGTCATCGCCGTTCTCAGCCAAGTCCCAGTTCCAGTTCCAAAAAATGTCACAGGCTGTCACAAGGTTAGAAGCCCGAGTCCGAGAGCGAATGCGAGAGCGATGAACGAGGAAGCCATCTGACACTACGTTCCTCCGAATAACCATGTAGCCAAAGAATGCACATGGTTTTGCATGCATCTGTACACGAAGAGGTTATATATAATGTGACACCTTACAGATGCTGCTACGGCTATTCGATACCCTTGGCCCCAAGATGCTCATCGAAGTCCTGTTACTCTTATTCGCCTATTCTAGTAGATGGGGCGGCATTTCTGTAGTACTCGCACAGTCGGGTAGTACAGGAACAAGCTCCTCGGTAGTATCCACCACTACCGGTATACCGAGTTCCACAAGTGTCTCCACGGCTACGGTTACGTTTCTTCCAATCGGTTCGATTCCTCGTGATTACACACCGGAAGGACTAGAACAGTTATGGGATATCGTTCGTATTCTTGCTGACCTCCTCAGAAATCAACATTCCTGACTGATCTGCAGGTCGGGCCTGTCGAGCCGCCTCCATTCACCACTACCCGCGTTCCCACTGCAGCGGTGACCCTGCCGCCATCTCCCCCGCCTTTGTATCCATCCTTCTATGCTCAGGCCCCGAAGGATGTCTTGCCAGACTTGAAATTCCCCAAAGGCTTCAAATTCGGAGTCGCCACGGCCGCGTACCAAGTTGAAGGAGCCGCGAAGGATGAGGGCAAGGGACCGACAATGTGGGACTGGGCTACGAGACAGCCAAACGCTACATACGATAACACAACTGGTGAGTATGCGTGGTATCAGACCGATATTAATCATGTAACTGAGATCATTGCAGGCGATATTGTCGATCTTCAATATTTCTTGTACAAAGAAGACGTCCAACGGATCGCTGCTCTTGGTGTAACTGCACATTCCTTCTCGTACGTGTTGTAACTCATTCGACGCGACTTCTCTGAACAGCATTCTGTAGTATCTCGTGGGCAAGGATCTACCCATTTGGCGCTGCTAATTCTCCCATTAATACGGCTGGCATTGATCACTACTCTGATGGTATGATCTTATCTTAACAGTATCACAGGTGTGGCTGATCGTCTTTGCTGCAGTCATCGATTACCATTTGGATCATGGTGTGGAGCCTGTTGTAACACTATGTAAGGCCTTCTTTTGTCGCGTTCAATACTCCATGTTCACTATCGGAGAAATAGTTCATTGGGATACACCTCTAGCCCTTCAGGCGTACTACGGAGCTTTCACGTCGCCGCAAATAGTCGATGACTTTGTAAAGTGAGTGCTAGAAGGACGTTACTTTTTGTGTGCTTATACAATTTTCAGCTATGCCAAGACAGTATTCCAGGCATACAACGGCCGTGTTAAAACTTGGTGGGTGTCTGCAATTTGTTATCAAAGCAATGGGCTCAACTGCTTCAGGTATACCTTCAATGAACCGGGCGCTTATTGTAACAAGATTACAGCTTATCCTTTCAGTAAACATTCTGTAAATCAAAACCCTTCTCCGGAAACTTACCATTGAGACTAGATGTTACACTCGCGCCTAGTGTTAACTCGTCTACCGCTTTTTATCAATGTGCATACAATCTATGTATGTCCTGCATGCTTCTTCCTACCCTTGATCCTGACACTTTATCATAGTAAGGGCTCATGCAGGAGCCGTCAAGGGTCCGTCGATGTACCACGATAATCTACCACTCACTCATCCCTTTCCTTGTCAGCATTCCGTGAAATGCGCATATCGGGAGAGATTTCCTTCAAAAACTCTGGTGACATGTAACTATATCTCTTTCTCCCCGGTAGTATCTATGCAACTTGAATGTCTTTCAGAGGTACACCATGGAGAAGCAACTCTACCGAAGACGCCCTTGCGGTCGAACGCAAGGCAGCATTCGATATAGGTCTTTTCGCAAACCCTGTATACACAACAGGTGATTGGCCTGATATTGTCAAGGACACCCTCCCGGCCGATTATCTGCCCCGCTTCACCGACGAGGAAAAGACGGACCTTCTTGGCTCTGCAGATTTCTTTGCCATTGATCCCTATCACTCGACATGGATAAAGGCACCGGACGAAGGAATCGATGCATGCATAACAAATACTTCCAATCCCTTGTGGCCTGGTTGTAATGAACCCGTATACTTTGACTCGGGTTACGGCTGGTCCGCAGGTCCCGCTTCTGGCCAACAGGCCTATTCCGTACAAGCAACGCCGGTGGCTATCCGTACTTTGTTCAAGGGTATCCATTCTCGATGGCCGAGTAATAAAATGGTGTGTGTTAGAATTTTCAATGGCTGATTCTAACCGCTGGCGAGCAGTATGTTTCCGAGTTCGGTGCTGTTGAACCTCTCTCCTTCCCGGGTACAGATATATCGATAATAAAGGACGATGTGCTCCGAACGAGTGCGTATTGAAATCATTTCAGGTTAGCTGAAGACTCACCTGTTATATCCAGACTACTACCTGACGTATCTCGGTGAGATGTTGCTGTCCATACACGAAGACGGTGTTCCAATAGACGGCGCTTTCGCTTGGGGTCAGTTCTAGCAACACGGAACATAAAGAATTCGCCGTTGACATTTGTTGTAGCAATGATTGATAATGCAGAATGGTCATTCGGGACAATTGTCAGGTGCGTTGTCATTGTTCCGGGTTTAGAGACTTTTTCGATCTTAGCATGGTTGAAGGTTCGGTATTCAGTACGTCGATTACACGACATTGGAGCGGACATACAAGCGTTCGGCATTGTCCTTGTGTGAGTTGCTTGATGCCTTCCAATGTAGCCAAGATTTACAATCACGAATAGCGGAATTCTTTGGGTCGCACCTTCAAAACTGAAGTAAATGTTCTGGTATAATACTCAAATAATCCCTGATGAATGCGAATTCAAGGTCAAGGGAACACGTTTCTTCTATTGCACTTTAAAACACTACAAATAAAGACTAGCTGTCAATGAGGCGTTCAATTTAGGGAGAAACGGCGATTACGTTGAACTCGACAACGCCGAGGCGTCATCCTGTCCTTATCCTGGACGCGTTTGTTAAATTGAGGATCAATCAACCAAATATCAAAACGTTTTTAACATATGGACGCACCATCTAACCCTACGTCGTTTGGTCGGAGCCATTCAGTGTTGCCGCCAGAAACTGCTCTTGATTATTGGAAGAGTGAGAACGAATAAGTTGGGAAGAGGTGACGGGTGAAGGATTTTATCGAAGATGGACGCCAGCAAAGGCAAGACTCGCTCTTGGAATTCGGTGATGTCCAAGGACACGACCTTCGATACGTTTGCTTATGGATGGGTCGTGGAAGACGTTGAAAGTTCAGCCACCTCCGACTAATTTCACAGAGGTGGACTTTGATGACAGATCGTGGGGAACGACGGGGATTGCTGGCCAGCCTGAGTATGAAGGTACTCCATGATGAGAATCACTGGTTCTACCTCTTGCTTGGCGATCTGACATGCATGAGAAATGCCGCTGACTGAATGTTATTCTGAACGTAGCGCGCAGTTGAAATCAATGGTAGAAACGGGGTTCAAGGATGTATTACGCAACCAGTCGCCGCTTGCTACCTTGGATAGACGTGCTAGTTCCATCGTCTACACTGAAAGACTCGATATGGAAAACTCTACATTTGCTCACCCGACGGACTCAATAATTTGGAGTTGTATAGAAGGTTACAAAAACGGACCAGGGTAGCAATGCCATTTCTGCTCAAGTCTGTCATGAACTAAAGATACACTATAGTGCACGTTTGTCCTTTTTTCGTAAGGATAAGACGACGTATGAAATGCGAGGCGATGGTCATAGTTCAGTTAGTGCGCCGAGGATCCCGAGATGTATGTTGCGACAAAGTTTTCGACCTGCAACGTTTTCCTTCTTTCAAACCGGGGTCCCACGAAACTACGATGATGATTTACCCGATACTTACACAATGCCCCGTTTATAAGAAATATCCCAGGCTTGAGTGACGATCTAAACAAGTAGCCGTGAATACTCCGTTGAATTTCGGAACCCAATAATTAGTGATGTTCGACCTTCACTGATTGAACCCGAATGATTGACGGTCTCTGATCCATCTTTTGTAATGATACCGTAGCCATTGGTTGACTAAAATAACACGCACTTGGACGGAGATATCCGCGATGCTATCTAACCCTCTGCCCATGGCATGGCCCAAGACATAGACAACCGTACCCTTGACCGCAGTCAACATTGGTATGGTGTGTCAGAAATGCGGCGCAGGGTACTATGGGTTTGTGAACGTGAGGTTAATTTGGCTTTACGAGCGGTTGCAACGTTTATCGGACCTCTGAAAAATTTTCAAACTTTATGTAGCTCGAAGGGCAGGTAGCAAAGCGTGCATCATTAAAACAAGATATTACTAGTAAGTAGCGATTTAGGTAGGTACAGAAGTATTGTTACTATGCGTGTATAAGTAAGCTGTTTTAGTTATTCCAATAACTCGAGAAAGCAGGCCAGAGCAAAGGGGGGGATGATTATCAAAATCATAAGTAAAAAGAAACGCCTAGGACACAAGTAGACCAGCCAGCAAACGACTAGCGCATGCAAAAATAGCCCAACTCTAACTGCTCCGCAGGCGTCAGAATCAAGGAACCGCCGGACATCGAAGATGTTACTTACTGATCAGCACGAGGGCGGGTCCTGCCATATGGGCAATCAGGTCTGCACCTCCCGGGCGCAGAAAGGGGATTGTTGTGGGGTGGAATAACGCGTGGGTCGCAATGGTAGGGAACATCGGTGATAGAGGCCATCCCAGCCTCGACGGCCTTCATCCAGGCGGTGTACTCTCTGCAGCGCGTAATCTGCTTCGAGGACGAGATGAGTTTTCCGCAGAGCTTGTAGCGGTTGGAGGTGTAGCTGATGAAGCACATAGTGATAGAGGCGTGCGACGAGCAGAGAGAGGGGGTGAGGATAAGACGCGAACTGGGTAGCTTGAAGCTGGAATCCAACAAACGAAGAAGACGAGGTATTTATATGACTCGAACGCGTTTGCCCTAACCCTGATGGTGAGTCAGATTGAAGTAATCTTGCCTCGTGTACGCCAACGACGCGCCTCCCCTGTCAAGTCCAAAAAACACGCGCCCTGTCTAGCCAGCCAAGCCTAGGCATATATATCGGGAAGTTACTGATGCACCACGTTTTGGTATTTTGAACACATCCAGATCTGATAAACGCTAAACATAGGTCCAGGATTAGCCAGATGGGCGTGTAAGATGGAGGCTTGAAGACGTAAAAAACAAAGGACGATGACAGATAGCCGAGAAAAGGTCCCAGCGCTTGGCGTCACAGATGATGGACAAGAAGTAAAGGAGGTATGATTCATTCTTCTTGACCATCGAGAAGCAAACGTGTGCATTCTGATCAGCGAAGCATGACGACAACTGGAGACGGGAAAGATCAGCCTTGCCGCGAGTAAGTTATAGTGGAAATCAGAACAGCTGAATGTTGAGGGTTGACGTTGAACAATGAACAACCTACGTATGTACGCATGTTCAGCCACCAGACAGCCAAGGCACCTGAACAGCCTGCTGTAATACGATACGGACTAAGAGCGGCAACGTTCCGCTATCGGTATCTAGATTGATAGCCGCTCGGAAAGACATCCGAAGGGCAGTGTCCTCGTCAGAGGTCACCTCATTCTGGCAATGATCGCCAACGAACTGAAGATGCGGAAATTGACATTCAAAGCATGAATCGACGCGGATTGAAGAGTGTCCTGAAATGTGCATGGACTCGTCGGGCTTCTGGCATAATTATAATACTCTTACTTTGTTGACGGCCTTTCAGGAAGAAGGCATGATCTATCGTCGGGTATCGGACAACGGATATCGGTCAGCCAGCAAACCGAATTGCTTTCAACAAACCTATTAGGGTGCAAATTTCTACTCATGCACACGTCAGTCTCGTTTGGCAGTTTTTTTGGCACGCTCACATATACCCTTCATTGATAACCATTCCTGAACAGGATCGGAAAACGGCAAGGAGAAATTGACTTTCCGAAACGACGATAACAAGGATAACATGAACATTCGAGCTCTTATACATTGGCCTATACTGAAGAAGAAAATTAAGAACTTAGTAAACAATTCGAACTGATTTTGTAAGCTTCACAAGCCTATGGTCTGCGTGAATACTTATCAAACTGTCGCCAGTAATCGATAAGTAACTCACAAAAACTATGATCGTTGCCATTCAAAAGCGGTCCTTTACCAAAGGATCCAAAGGTGGTCTACTGTACGATGGCTACAAAAAGCGCATCAGCATCCTCAGCGTCCAAAAAGACAACACAACCAAACCCACCAAAGGCGCCGGTTTGTTGTCCAACACTTCCTCGATTCTTGCCAATACATCATCCGTCAACTTCGGTAGTACCTCCAAGGCCTTCAAGTTCTCTAACAATTGCTCAGGCTTCGTCGCGCCTAAGATAACCGTTCCTGTATTAGTGTTCTTCGCTACCCACGCAAGAGCCAGAGCTGCAGTCGATGCACCAAGCTCTTCAGCGATCTTGGTGAGCTCTTTGACTTTGCGGATCTTCTCTTGCCCTTCGGGGGAAGTGAGGGAGGCGCGAGTATCCTTGAAAAAGTCGGCATTGAGGTCGAAGCGCGAACCGGGAGGAATTCCGTTGTTGTACTGAAGACCATTCAGCGTCCGACGAAGGTTAGACAAAGGAACATACCTTTCCGGTTAGAAGTCCACTAGCCAAAGACGACCATGTGGTAGTGCTGATACCATACTTCTTGTACAGTGGACTGCGGTGATTATGAGTAAGTAATAGAATGGGCAAGAGATCTTGGAAAACATACGCATATTCCTTTTCAGGTCGTTCGCGATGAAGCATGCTTTGAACCAAGTTAAAAAATGTACGACATCGCGAAAGACAGACGTACTGGTGTTAGCACTGCTCAGCTATGGGACCTTGAAGGCCGAGTCTATCAGCAACGTCTGCATAGATCTGAGGCGTAGAATACAAGATGAAAGAAGGATATAACACACGATACGCTTCCTCTATTTCGCGCGCGCTCCATTCCGATGTTGCCCAATAAAAGGCCCAACCCTTGTCAATCACGTAGTTGAAGGCCCGGACAATTTCCTCCATTGGAACTAAGAAGATGTAGGTCAGTGATAAGAATTAGCTCGAACCTGTAACCCAATACTCACCATTATGATCGTGTCGGTGGGCAAATATTACGTCGACGTAATCCATCTGAAGGCGAGCAAGACTCTCTTGGGTAGCCTCAATGATACTGAAGCTCAGGTTAATTTACGCTTCGCACAAAACAGTTGGAAACGAACTGTTTCCGGGACAGGCCACCGTCATTAGGTCCAGAGCGTAACCCAAAGAAAATTTTGGTCGATATCACGAGATCCGACCTGCGGTATCCGAGCTCTTTAATGGCACGACCCCTACGATTCCAATTCAACATTGAATGAAAGAGGAGCAGAAAGGAGGGACACACATTTCTATTTCAGACTTGCCCTTGGCGTAAGCCTCTGCGGTGTCGAACATGTTGATACCATTCTCGAATGCTAGCTTGATGAGTTCCTAAGTACCATCAGGTTAGTAATTTTACAAGTATCTGTCAAAGGGGGACGTACCTTGACTGGGTCACCGACAACAGTACCCCCGTACGTTAGCCCTGTGAGAAGTGAGTGCCTCAGCTCAGAACATCATGAGTAATACTAACATCCGCCGAGAGAAAATAACGGTACTCTCAACCCACTGGGCCCTAGCCTCCGGAACAGCATGTTCTTAGGGTCAAAGTCTGGTGGTGTAGAGGTCGTCGACATAGTAGCAGTTCGCAAATGTGGAAGTGATATCACTGGAAAGAAAAGCAATGAGCTTCAAGCCAGTATAGAGAAGCGATAAGGGCATACATCGACGTGGTAAAAGTGCAAGTCTAGACATAGATTGCGTATGCCTTTTATACCGGCTAAGGTTGCCCCCGGCGCTATTTTAAGTAGCAGGGCGGATTCTTGCTGAGTGAGCATATTGAATTGTTGCTGACCAAGTCGACCAGTAGTCGTACGCGTTTACCATGCCGTTCCGAAAAGAAGCGGAATGTGGGAAAAAGGATACTGCAAGAGGAAGTAGAATAATGATGATGGAGAAAGGAGAAAGAGCTTTTGTTTGCTTCCGTTTGTGGCTTGAACGATCGGAATAACGGCCCGAAACGTCCTAGGCTACAGTTCTCGTACATCACTTTTATCCTCCACGGCAAACAAGTTTCGCTCGTCTATCAGGTAACTGATCGTTCTCCAGCATTATAATCGATAATCATCGATGTCAGTGCTTGTTGCGATTTCTTTGAACAATCTGAATACTACTATACAATCAGTACCATAAAGAGCTCGATGAAGTACTTCTTACTCCTCCTTAGATACTGTCGCCTTGGCGGCAGGGACTCATCCAATTGTCCATACAGTTAGGAACATCTGACTCAACTTCACAAACTATTCTGTCGTCGGGCAGAGTGCCGGTTTGAAAGCACGATTGAACGTAGGCTCGTGTGCATGCGGACGAAACAGACATAGGTGTGTGCTGTAGCAGTGAGAGAGTGAGTGTCCGACAACCTGTTTTGAAGTGATTACATACCCATATGAGTTTTGAGTTAGAACCACGGAGCCGGGGAATGCGCTGGACGTCTTGTGTGCCCTCAAGAAAGATGAATCAAGTGGGCTTAGCATGTAGTATCAGGATGGCGTACATAGAGAGAGGAGTAAGGGGGTCTGAATGATGCATTAATGTCAGTAAGAAAGGGGGAGGAGTCGTCGGCTGTCGGCATCCTGAGCATCCTCCCACCCTCCCGCCCGATCCTTCCTGCCCATTCCCGCACCCTCACACCCTCACCCTCAACCTTCCCCCTGCAGCGCAGTCATACTATCCAGCATGATCCTCCACTATTGTAGAGCACTCCCGTCCCTCACGTCGTCGCTGCCATCGTCCAATGTTTCGTCGTTGTCCGTGGTGCTCTTCCGGTTAATACTTCCCCTGCTGCCTGCAGATGACGGCTAATGTCCGATTCCTAAGTTCGCTCCCAGCCGTTTATGTATCATCCGCCCGTGTGCGGGCACAACTGACCCCGAAGTCGAAGTGGGTGCAGCTAGATCGGCCAGGATGGGAATGGGGGGCTCATTTGCGGTAGTAGAGGCCTTGTTGGATGCCGTCATCGTTGTCGTCGTCGATGGCGGCGGCGGTGGGCATCTTGTCCGTCGTATAGCACTATTCAGGATGCTGCCTCGTTGGAGCGGGGTTGGGCAGTAGAATCGTTATGCAGGGCTCTTAGGGCCGCATGCAAAAAAGGAATCTGGAGAAAGTGATAAGCATCAAAATAATGGACATGCACTTGTTCACGCCCACGAAATGGCTGTTGGGCGGGCGGAAAGGCTATCGCCGTTTTCGAGGTGGTGGTCAAAGGTGACCGGTGACGCGGGATGAAGGAAGCAGCACAGCCACTCGATCCGCTGCTTGGTTGGTCGGACCGCGGCGATCGAGTGCCCGGAATCGAAATTCGGGATTCATCGACAGCTCCAACCACTCACTCCGACGTCTCATGGGCTATCGGGATGTTCGATATATATTGGGTAGATATGTGATACATGCGTACAATTTTGGGGGAATGAAATGTCATAAAAGGTAGATAAGTAATTGGCATTTACAGCGCTTCCGGAAAAAAATGAGAATCGCCAGAAATGACGTCGTCATGTTTGCCGCGTGAAACCATGTTGTAAATACTCTTTTGGGTATATACACCATTCCCATTATTTTCCGGAAGCGCTGTAACAGTTGTTTAACAGTGATTTTGTCTCTGAGTTTTTTCAATAGTACTTATATATTACGATTTCGCACCTTATCTTATCTTATCGACTCTCTCGTAATCTCGCCATACTAATTATCCGACCTTGATCGCATACAACCATGAGGGTTCCGTACGTTTACAGTACCGTTGCAGACACTTGTAGTATATTTAGCACGACCCAAACTGTATTTAAGTAGCTTGACTGCAGGTCTTAAACCTCAGTCTCGAACTAAAGTTTATTCACCCGATAACTTAGTCTGAACTCACTCTCGCTCAACTAAGCGATAGCTCCCTTAACGCAAACCTGCGGACAACATAAAGCGCCTGACCGAAGTGCGAGTCATGCTTAGTTGTTTG